TCAATTTCTACTACAAAAGAGAGCCTAGGCCATCAAAAATGGTAGCCAAGACAGCCTTTACTTAAGGCCGTCACATAGTTTTATATTCCAAAGAGCAGGACCTCAGCCAAAGGGAGGGTGTCACTCCCAGATTAAACCCAGAGCACCATGAGAGGGTCCATCCCGGAGTGCCTGGGGAACTTGTCCAGGGCCCAGCCCTCCAGCCAGCCCTCTGGCAGGTTGCATTTACCTTGAGCTCAGCGTCACATTGCTGTGAAGATTTAGTGACCAGTCAGCCCACCTGGGTTCTCACCTCTCAATGTGGTGACACATTGGAATTACTTGGGAATCTCTGCAAATCTCCATTGCCTCCTTCCCACCCTGAGATATTCGAATGTAAGAGAGATGTGAATGTAATTGGTCCAGGGGAGTGGGCTGGCCATCAGGAGCATTAAAATTTCCCCACGTGATTCTAGTATGTAGTCAGGCATTCTGAGCTATGTCTGCATATCAGAGTACCTGGGGAAGCTTTTAAAGCTACCAATGCCTGGCCACACTCCTTGAAACTGACTGAAGTGTTCTGGGGCAGGGTTCAGGCTTTTTTGTGTTGTTTTTTGAAGCACCTCAGCTAATTCTAATACACTGCCAGGACCTAAAATTACTAGACGAAGTACCATTTTTTTTTTAAATGGAGCAGTTTTGCTGAGAATCTGGGGGGAAAAGACACTCTCATAGGCCATCTGTGAGAATAAAAATAGGTGCAACCTTTCAGAAGGCAATTTGGTAGTATCTATTACAATGTAAAATGTGCGTACCCTCTGACCCAGTAGTTCCTCTTTTAAGAAAATGAAAGTTCCTATGGCCAGGATCCTCACCTGACCCTAAAGTACTTGATGATGTAATTGGCCTGCTGCTAGGCTACTGCTTCCACACCTGTTGGCAATGAGCCATTATTGTTGGTGTTACTATATGGAGAGCCCCACCCGGTGCTGTGCCTGGAGTCAGAGATGGAGAAGGGCTTGCTGCATGCAGGCTGCCTCAGAGGCAGACGTAATTCCAGCACTCTGCTGTCACCGTGCTACCTATGAATCCTTTTACCCCTAATGTTCTGTTGTTATTCAGTCTCATCGAATCCAGACTGAACTTGCCCCGGAAGCAATTCCCCTGCAGGTGAGACAAGCCTGCAGAATTAATCATGCAAGTTCATAGAAATTATGTCTTTGAGAACCCTCACTGCAGCATTGACTGTGTTAGCAAAAGAACTGAAAACAGTCCAAATGTTTCCCAATGGTGGTCTGGGAAACTATTAATATCCTACCGTAAATAAACTGTAATACCATGGAATACTATGCAACCATTTATATGAATTAAAAAAATTTTAAATTAAAAATAAAAAATAGTAATAAAACTAAAAAAAAATGTGAGGTGAATCTTTATGCATCTACAGGGAAGGATGAATTGATACATCATTTAGAGATGAAAGCAGATTGACCAATATGCATGACATGGGACCATGTTGCATTAAGACTAAGTTTGTGTGTATAGACACCTATGTATGAAGAGATTGATATATAATCACAGGTCAATCTCTCTTGGTGTGTAAAACTCCTAACAGCAGTTACGTCTGAGGAGGGATTAGAGAGATGGTGTGGATAAAGTGAAGATTCCTATAGCCAGAATTCTCACCTGTCCCTGGTTGGCTAGCTCACTGCACACGTGTGGGCAATATATTGTTATTAACTGTGTGTAAAGAGCTCTGCCCAGTGCTCTGAGCCACAGAGTGGCACACAGCTGCAGGAGAACAGAAGCCCTTTAGCTTTCATTCCTCCTGAACAGGCCCAAACAAAGAAAGAAAGGAGAGAGAGAGAATGATCACAGAGGCAGCAGGGCCAAGTTCTCATCCCCACCAATAATGCTGTGTTACAGTGGCTTAACTTCTCTGATTCTACTCTATCATTCTTAAAGAGGATAATGGGCCCTGCCTCACTGCTTCCCGTGAAGCTGTAAGGCCCTTATGCCCAGGTAAAGTAAACAAATGATGGTAAGAGTAAATTCTCACAATTCTACCATTGTAAATTTATAAAATAAAGAGAGTCTCCATCTGTCTTGCCAATGGGTTTCAGCTCTGGGCACGTGAACTATGGGTTCAGTGAGACTGAAAAATGACAATGGAGCATTCTTGGGAAAGGGTTTATACCCAACTTTATTCCCACCGTAGCAGGTCAATCACTAGAATCCTGTCCTAGAGCGGATCTGCATGCAGCAAGCCCGTCTCTGCCTCTGGGCCTCTCTGCCCCAGCAGCCGTCTCAGCCTTTGTCCTCGGTGCTGCCACCACTCCAGCTACTCCTGCAGCTGTGTGCCACCATGTCACCCAGAGCCCTGGGCAGAGCTCTTTATGTAGTGACTCAGTCAATAATAGCTTATTGCCTACAGGAGTGGAAGCAATAGCCTAGCAGCAGGCCAGTCACATCATCAAGTAGTTTAGGTTCAGGTAAGGATCCTGGCTATAGGAACCTTTACTTTATCCCAGTGGGATTTTCCTTTTTTTGTTTTTCATTATTTTCCCCAGAAGTGTAAAATTTTAGAAGTTACAAACTTTAAACAGCATCTCCAGCCTGGCCGTGACAAGCCAAGTTTATTTTCTGTGACCTGTATCAGCTCGAGGTTTGAGGCCAGCCCTTGAGGAGGGGGACCCAGGAGTCACCAACCCTGAGGGGATCCACATCTGCTCCCGGGACATGGGGCCTCACAGCAGCCACCCTTTAGCCCAGCCTTAGAAATTCTGTCCTCCTCTCTTTCTATCTTTTCTCGCAAATGTTCCTCCCTCTTTCTTGGTTGAAGGGTTACAAAGCTTTATGTATAGGGAACAATCCTGTGGCCCCTGCCAGCAATCTCCAGACTTCATTTTCTTTCCCAGAAAAAGAGGGAAGAGGAGCTTGAAGAACTGCTATTCACAGATGATTCAAAAACTGGTTCCAGTGAATAGCTCTGGCTTTACTCTCACCATCATTTGTTTACTTTACCTGGACATAAGGGCCTTACAGCTTCATGGAAAGCAGTGAGGCAGGGCTCATTATCCTCTTTAAGAATGACAGTAGATTCAGAGAGGTTAAGTAGTCTGCCCACTGTAACACAGCACTATTGGTGGGGATGAGAACTTGGCCCTGCTGCCTCTGTGGTCATTCTCTCTCTCTCCTTTCTTTCTTTGGAGATGCTTGTTTGGGCCTGTTCAGGAGGAATGAGAGCTAAAGGGCCTACAAAAAGAGGCAGACACATGACCTTAATGAATGAAGCAGACCAATGATCAGCTAGTGGAGTGCTAGGGTCTGTGGCAAATTATGGACCAAAGGTGGCCAGATCTTCTGAACCATCAAGAAAAGCCCAGAGATCAGGATTTTAATGTATAAATATTATTGCTTTGACATGCCAGTGACCAGTTCAAAATTAATAAAACACTTTGAGTTAAGCAAAAACGATGGGCAGGCTGCTTTCACCCTATGGCCATGCTTGTACAATTTCTGGTATGTTAATCACTGCTAACCCCACCCACCCATCAACTGGGAAATGGCTGAGGGATTGACAGTTGATGGGCAGTGATTCTTTGACATTGCTTTGACCTCTTTCATGTCTGCTTAGCTACCCCTTTTTAAAATGTCTTCTTTTGTTTTTTACTTTTTTTCAAATTATCACTGAATGTACTTAGTTGCACACATAATTTTGAATAATTTAAAAAATGAAAAAATACCACTAGTAATTTGCTAAATTGACTCCAAAACTTTTTGATAATGTACATATTTATTTTGATAAATCAAAAATTATTTATGCAGTTTTGCACCCTGGATTTTCACTCACTTTTGTATCATAAGCACCTTTCTATTTTATTAACTTTTCTTCAAAGACATTATTTTTATGGCTGTGTTAGTATATTATATAAATACAGCTGTGGATAAAATTGTAACATTTCCAGAATATCCTGCCCGGCTTTCGTGCATCTGCATATCAACAGGCGTTCAGATGTGGAAAGAAGTATGGCTTTAGTTCATTTGCATATCTTTCCTCAGGGGTGGAGAAGTTCATCTCCATATCAATGGGTAATTACCTGGGCAACAGAGGGCTTAACTGTACCTGAGAGGTGAGGGGGAGGGCTGCTTTTGCTGCTGCTTGAGAAGGAGAAATGGGTGGGTCTGTAGTTTTGTAAGCAATGAATGAATTTTAAGCTTTATTTCTCCCCTTGACTGATTTTGGTTTTTAGAGGTATTTTGCCACAAGATTTCCTCTCCCAGACTTACAATAGAATACTTACTTGAGCAGTTATTTCCTGTGTGACCTTGATTGAGTTACTTAACCTCGCTCTAATTGGGTTTTCTCTTGTATAATGGGGGTAATAATAGAATCTCCTTTATAGGGTTAGCGTAAGGATTGAAGAAGTAAATAGATATAAAGTGTTTAGAACAGTGCTTGGAACAGAGTAAACATTAAATAAGTGCTTGTTATTTATATTCATTATTATTATGGTTTTGTACAAATGCATCTTGGCCCGAATTTTTTATTACTTTTAATAAATTACTATAGGATGAATAATTGGTCATTAATTTGCATGGCCAGGTAGCCATCTTCTAAGTCTGTCCTAATTTACATTTCTAGCAGGGTATGAGTTGCCTATTTCTTCATATCCTCTGAAATATTATTTATTTCACTTTCCTTTATTCTTGGCCAAAACAGGTGACCTTAAGCATCTGTAACGTCCTTGAGCCTCTCTGTCTAGATTAAAATTCAAACCTGTTCCTTTTCCTGGCTGTTCTCACAGATTGACCTTTTTTTTTAAAAAAATGCTGGTTTATTTCATGGTTATTTGCTTAACCTAATGAGAATCTCTGTTGTTCAGTAGTAAGTTTAGCCCATTCACATGTATTGTGATTCTTTATTGTGCTTTTTTTTCCTGATAGTGGATTCCAACGGGTCACCAACCCCAATTGTATTTGTGAGGTTGCTGACCCAGGGTCTCTGTGGTGTTTTCCAGAAACCACTCAGATCGAGGACCCCCGGGTACAATGGCGTCGGGAGCAGGAGCACATGTTGAAAGATTACCTAGTGGTGGCCCAGGAGGCCCTGAGTGCTCAGAAGGAGATCTACCAGGTGAAGCAGCAGCGCCTGGAGCTTGCACAGCAGGAGTATCAGCAGCTGCATGCCGTCTGGGAGCACAAACTGGGCTCCCAGGTCAGCTGTGAGTACCTCCCACTGCCAGCACCCCCCACCAGTGCCACTGCAGGGAGCAGGGAGTGGCCTGCGATGGAATCCTGCCTGCATCGCCTCCGTGCTCAGATCTGCCTGTGTTCCTCCGTCTCCTCTCCTCTCTGCTGCTCTGCCTACTCCTGCGGGTGCCTTGCCGTGATTCATTTGCCATTTCCACTCCATTCACTTTCATTCATTTGTAATCCTCTCAGCATGTCAGTCCGGTTACGAGTATCTCCTTGTTTAAACCCTTCAGTGGCTGGGGAAGTGCCGAGCAGAGAGCTCTTGTTTAATGGGTAGAATTTCAGGCTGGGAAGATGAAAGAGTTCTGGAGGTAGATGGCGGTGATGAATCCACAACAGTGTGGATGTATGTAATGCCCCTGAACTATATACTTAAAAATGGTTGCAGTGGTAAATTTGGGGGTATGCGTAGTCTACCAAAATTAAAAAAAAACCTTCAGTGGCTTCCCATCATGCTTTCTACTGCCTACAAGGCCCTGTGTGATCAGGCGTCCGCTGGCCACTCCCACCTCCTCTCATTCTCTCATTCACTAGGCCCCAGGTGCCGAGCCCTGCATTCTGCTCCCCTAGCCTGCCTGCACTTTCCACTGCGGGGCTTTGTGCTTGCTGCTCCCCTGTCCAGATGTCGGTCTCTTTGCACAGCTGGCCCTCATCCCTTGGTGTCATCCTACAGGTCAGCGCTCTGAGAGGCTCCCTTCCGACCACACCAGCAACAGACTCCCTTCCTCAGCATTAGCCTCTGTCACGGCTTCTGTTCGTTTTCTTCATAGCATGTATCACAGTACATCTGCCTCTGTGTCTCGGTATTCCACTAGAATATAAGCTGTATCAGGCCGGGCTCCTGTCTTCCTTGTTCACACTGATGTCTGCAGGAAACAGGCATGCAGAGCCCCCGCGTGGACCGCAGTACCAGGACATGAGCTGTCGAGGAGCCCCTGACCTTGTACAATGTCAGGATTTTTTGTGCTATTTTACTTAATCCTCCTAACAGCTCTGTGAACAAGTACAATTAATATCCCCCTGTAACAGATAAGGAAACTGAGGCTTACGGGGGGATCCATAAAATGCTCAGGGTCTTAATAGCAAGTAAGAGGAAGCAATAAGTTATAAACCCATTCTGTCTGTCCCCCCAACATTTTCAGTGTGGACCAAGGGGCCAGCATTAGGCCATGCTATTAGGTTGGCCATGGCTTGCCTGGGCTGGGACCAGATAGTCCTCCTGCGTGAAGCCCTCACATTGAGAAGTTTAGTTAGTCTACTAAGAGAACAGGGACAAAACTTGCCAGGTTACTCACTGTCTCAGCCCTGCCCTCTATCTTGGTGGCTCAAGAAAACCTCCAGAAATCTCAGATTGTAGAAAAGAATTGTATTACACTCTGAATCAAATAATGTTCCAGAGATTGTCGTGAGGATTTTAGCATTTAACCTGTCTTAGCTAGGGCTGCCATATCAAAATACCATACACCGGGTAGCTTAACCAACAGAAATGTATTTTCCCATAGTTCTGGCAGCTGGAAGTCCAACATGGTCTGGTTCTGATGAGAGCCCTCTTCCTGGCTGGCACCTTCTTGCTGTGTCACATGGCAGACAGAGAGAGACTAGCTGTCTGGTGTCTCTTTTTATATGGCCACTAGTCCCATCATGAAAGCCCCACCCTCATGACCTCATCTAAACCTGATTACCTCCCAAAGGCTCCCTCTCCAAATTTTTGCCATTTCCACTCCATTCACTTTCATTCATTTGTAATCCTCTCAGCATGTCAGTCCGGTTACGAGTATCTCCTTGTTTAAACCCTTCAGTGGCTGGGGAAGTGCCGAGCAGAGAGCTCTTGTTTAATGGGTAGAATTTCAGGCTGGGAAGATGAAAGAGTTCTGGAGGTAGATGGCGGTGATGAATCCACAACAGTGTGGATGTATGTAATGCCCCTGAACTATATACTTAAAAATGGTTGCAGTGGTAAATTTGGGGGTATGCGTAGTCTACCAAAATTAAAAAAAAACCTTCAGTGGCTTCCCATCATGCTTTCTACTGCCTACAAGGCCCTGTGTGATCAGGCGTCCGCTGGCCACTCCCACCTCCTCTCATTCTCTCATTCACTAGGCCCCAGGTGCCGAGCCCTGCATTCTGCTCCCCTAGCCTGCCTGCACTTTCCACTGCGGGGCTTTGTGCTTGCTGCTCCCCTGTCCAGATGTCGGTCTCTTTGCACAGCTGGCCCTCATCCCTTGGTGTCATCCTACAGGTCAGCGCTCTGAGAGGCTCCCTTCCGACCACACCAGCAACAGACTCCCTTCCTCAGCATTAGCCTCTGTCACGGCTTCTGTTCGTTTTCTTCATAGCATGTATCACAGTACATCTGCCTCTGTGTCTCGGTATTCCACTAGAATATAAGCTGTATCAGGCCGGGCTCCTGTCTTCCTTGTTCACACTGATGTCTGCAGGAAACAGGCATGCAGAGCCCCCGCGTGGACCGCAGTACCAGGACATGAGCTGTCGAGGAGCCCCTGACCTTGTACAATGTCAGGATTTTTTGTGCTATTTTACTTAATCCTCCTAACAGCTCTGTGAACAAGTACAATTAATATCCCCCTGTAACAGATAAGGAAACTGAGGCTTACGGGGGGATCCATAAAATGCTCAGGGTCTTAATAGCAAGTAAGAGGAAGCAATAAGTTATAAACCCATTCTGTCTGTCCCCCCAACATTTTCAGTGTGGACCAAGGGGCCAGCATTAGGCCATGCTATTAGGTTGGCCATGGCTTGCCTGGGCTGGGACCAGATAGTCCTCCTGCGTGAAGCCCTCACATTGAGAAGTTTAGTTAGTCTACTAAGAGAACAGGGACAAAACTTGCCAGGTTACTCACTGTCTCAGCCCTGCCCTCTATCTTGGTGGCTCAAGAAAACCTCCAGAAATCTCAGATTGTAGAAAAGAATTGTATTACACTCTGAATCAAATAATGTTCCAGAGATTGTCGTGAGGATTTTAGCATTTAACCTGTCTTAGCTAGGGCTGCCATATCAAAATACCATACACCGGGTAGCTTAACCAACAGAAATGTATTTTCCCATAGTTCTGGCAGCTGGAAGTCCAACATGGTCTGGTTCTGATGAGAGCCCTCTTCCTGGCTGGCACCTTCTTGCTGTGTCACATGGCAGACAGAGAGAGACTAGCTGTCTGGTGTCTCTTTTTATATGGCCACTAGTCCCATCATGAAAGCCCCACCCTCATGACCTCATCTAAACCTGATTACCTCCCAAAGGCTCCCTCTCCAAATTTAAGTTTTTTGTGACATTTAACTCCTGTCACAAAAGTCCTGACCTAAAGAGGTAAAGTACATTCCCCAAGAGGGCATAGCTGGTAATGATGAAACAGAGATTGGAACCCAGGCCTTCTGACTTCTCCCTGTCACATTTAAGTTAGGGTTCAACATAAGAATTTTGGAGGGTCCACACAATTCAGTTGATAGCATTATCCTTACCATCGACCTGGCAGGGAGATATTTTTGTCCCTAGTGAAACGTAGGTTTGAAGATTAGAGTGAGTTCATTTCTCTCTGAAGTCCCTAGTCTGAAAAAGTAACAAGTGTATATAAAAACAGTTTCCTGTTTTGGGGGGCAGGATGTTTACATGGACCCAACATATTACCCCATAAATCACTTACTGATTTCATGTATTTTCCCATGAGAGAGAGCTGCAGCCACGACCTTACACAGGGGTTAAATTACCATCACCAATAATGAGAACTGTCATCATGTGCCTTCTGGTGATGTCATAAGAACAAAATGGAAGATTCTTACAAAAATGTTTATCATGAATGAAATCATAAACATCCAGATACATCCATAATGTGGAATATCCTACCAGATAATTGGCCTGGACTCTTTAAAATAGAAAGTACTGTGAAAAACCAAAAAGAAGAGAAACTATTTCAGACTGAAAAAACACCTAAGGAGACATAAAGCAAATGAAATGTCTGTACTTTGATTAGACCCTGGACTGGAGGGGAAAAAGCAGCCATAAAAGATATTCTCAAACAATTGGAAAATTGTCTTAGGTGTGATAATGATGTTGTGGCTCTAGGAAAATGTTCTTGTTTTTAAGACATGCATGTACCATCATGTCTGCAACTTAACTCCAAAAGGTGTCCAGTGAGGTTGGGGGGAACCCTGGTATCAGCTAAGTGAGCAGATCAGTACATGTTGATGATACATTGATGCCTTTGAATGTGGGATAGGTTTTCCAGTAATATGGAAATATGAATGATATTCAGTAATCTGAGATACTATTTCTAGTAATCATTCATGGAGGGCTTAGTGTGAACCAAGCATCCTGCTGAGAGAAAGATTGGGGTGAAGGGGCGGGATAGAACAAATGTGGAAAGTGTTAAAAACTGATGGATCTATTCCAAAATAAGAAGTCAGGGTGGGGAAGAGTCAAACAGAGCAGGAATGAAGCATTCCTGCAGAGAAACACTGTGGTAGGGAGTGGCAGTCTCTGGATGGTGAAGTCAGAAGGCCTGGGTTCCAATCTCTGTTTCATCATTACCAGCTATGCCCTCTTGGGGAATGTACTTTACCTCTTTAGGTCAGAGGTCCTGTCTGTTTAAATATGGAAATGTAAATAGTACCTTCATCTCATGGGTCCATGTCAAGGTTTTTTAGCTTCAGTATTACATTTTGGGCCCAACAGTCTTCATTGTTGGACTGTCATGTATATTGTGGGATGTTTAACAGCATCTGTGGTCTTTGCCCACTAGCTAGCTGCCGGTAGTACCCCTCCTCCAAGCCATGGCAATTAGAAATGTCTCCAGACATTGTCAGATGTGCTCTAAAGGGGCAGAATCCCCCCAGTGAAAAACCACTATTCTAGGTAAAACAGTTCCCTTAGAATGTGTTAATGGCTCAATAAATATTCTTGCCAGGAAACACTTTACATAATATTTTCAGAGCGTGGACTTTGGAGTTAGACTGCC